AAATCTTAAGGCCCGGCTTTTTCAACTTAGTTGAAAACAAGCCCCAAAAAAATGCCGGATTTCGGGAACCGTTGGACTTTAAAGAGGGACCCCTGGACAGTCAGGATGCCCTGAATAATTCAGCCAAGTTGACTTAATGGAGGAGGCCCCCACTAAACCGGGTCCAACATTACAGTTCATAGGAGGTCCATGTGGAATCCATAACCCCGCAGACTGGTTCACTTACAGGGATGGTTTTAGAGGGTTTCGGGGCCCAGCCTTCTCGAATGACGCACGTCGCCTGCACCTGTGTTGCCTGGAAACATGGCCTGCGTGGGTTAATCTTCTAATTTTACTGCTTCTGAGCCCGGTGCCTTCGCAGAGGCGCAATTGACAAAAACACGCTACACGTTTTCGTCGCTGTTTTTTTGGTTCATTTTGGGGTGAGGGGGGGAGGGGGGGGGGGTTGGTTACGTTCAAGGACGAACAAATCCGAAAATCACTAAGTCATTACGTGCCCTTTCTGCGGTTCGGGGATGATTCTGAGAATCTTTTGTTTAAGTCGGGATTTCTTGGTTTCGGCTTGCAGGGTTTGAGGTTGAGGGAGTGGGGCTTGCACTCTTGCTCGGGGAATACTCTGAGTGAAGTGGTCCACGACTCACTCACTAATCCGTTCACAAGAAGTTTTAGTTTCTGGGCTTGGGGTTCAGGGTTTAGGGTTCAGGGTTTTTCGTCGCCCCCAAAACTACATGTAGCGTAAACCGAAACCCAGGGGGTTTACGAAAATACGGGGTCCCCAATATAGTCCCAAATAGTGTTGGCTTCCCTTATGATAAGGACCCCCCATAAGGTACCCCTAATTTCGGAAACCCCCACATTTTGGGTACTGGGGGTGGGGCCCTTTTAAACTGCCTGCACCCGCAGAGGCAAAAGCAACTCAACGACAACCCACTCTCGTGCCTATACCTTGCCTACTGAACCTCAAAAATGCTCCCAAAACCTTTTCCGCCCACAACACACTCAAACCACCAAACCCTGTATACCCTGTAAATAGCGACAAATCCCGTCCCTGTAAGTGAACCCGTTGGGATAGCCCCCCTCAGGGAAACGTTTTGGCTAGAGATCTGCGGGAACTCTATGGGCCACTGGTCCCCGAAGTCGGGCTGTCACGGGCTTCTGAGCCTTCGGACCAAACGAAGGGGTCGACAATTTGGCGTCGGAATGCCAGGGAGTAAAGTAGGTGGGTTATTCTTTGACCCCCAACCGTAGTCAAGCGCCTGAGGCTGGGGCCTCCCCCGATTTAACGTTGTTTGTGCCGGGCCTGTGCTCTCCGTGGAAACCTTCATAACTCTTCACTGCCCAGGGCCCTGCCAACAAAACGCCCATCCAATGGAGGGCAGGAAGCGGAGGTGGGGCGGGAGTTAAGTAGGGTCGGCAAGGCATACAGCAACGGCATGGCGTCACACCGGACATACCACAACCAAAAAGAGCTCGTCACAACCGTCCCTGGATTTGTGTGAGCATAATCATGTGTTGGTGTTGCGTATTCCTGTTGAGAACCGGGTGTCCCCGTCCCTGATTTTTTGTACATGTCGCGTTCCATGAGCCCTCAAGTCCTTATTAAAGAGCTATCCTGTCAACCCTGTGTGCGCCCATCAACCCATTAATTAACCCAATCATTTTGGCAACCATCTGCCCTTTATTAGCTCATGAACCCGTCAATCGGTCATGATTGCGAGAATGGGCCAAAAAGATGGGGTCAGCTTGTTGATGCGTTTTGTTCTTATCAGAACATAGAGAGGTTTGCGCGCGAACTAGAATCCAACAACTGAAGCATGAGGAAAGACAGGTTTTCGTGAGCTGGAGGCGGAGGCTGTCTTCGTAACAAGTTGAGGAAACAGAGGTTTCGTATTCGCGTCTAGAGGAAATAGAGCCATCAAACTATGGAGCAGGTAGAGGTTGAATTCCTGGCGGCAAGTCTTATCGACAACGACCACATGCCTGTTCTGACCATGCCTGCTTCCGAACCTACCTGTGCTCATGCTCGCCCGTGGTTTTTCAAGGAACACGTGGATTCGAGAAGGAGGGCTTTAAGTTACATATGAGAAAGAAAATGGATTAATATCTTCATCTTGTACAGATGATACAGAGGCTTGCAATCTACACGTAAAGAATGTAGAGAGGCATTAGTGCATATGATACAGATTTTTGAATTGTTTGGGTGAGAAGAACCGGTTGAGATTCACTTTCAGATGGATCAGCCTTGGCGAAGACGCATCGTGCCGACAAATGCAAGAACGTCGTTGAAATGCTCTAGGCTCCAGGGTTCATCGTCTCTTTCTGATGGCCTCCAATCATCTCCCTGTCATTTCCCTTGCACTGCCTCATATTTCCTGTGAGCCCCCAACAGCTCTAGTTTGTCCTCATCTCTTAGATTCAATTTTTTGTTTCTGTCTCTCTCTCTCTCTCTTTCTCTCTTTCTCTCTCTCTCTCTCTCTCTCGCTCTCGCTGGCTCTCGCACTCTCCTTTAAGCCTTGCAGGTTTTTGTTTGACATTTCGGGTTGGCAGTTTCGGGTTCCAGTTTCCCCGAAACAGTAGTTTGGAAGAAGACCCGCTGTGGCTCTGTAGAGATGCACTTTCGCTCTCTCTCTCTCTCTCCCTCTCTCTCTCTCTCCTTCTCTCTTTCATTCTCTTCCCCTTTCTTCCCCTCTTCCCCTCTTCCCCTCTTCCCCTCTTCCCCTCTTCCCCTCTTCCCCTCTTCCCCTCTTCCCCTCTTCCCCTCTTCCCCTCTTCCCCTCTTCCCCTCTTCCCCTCTTCCCCTCTTCCCCTCTTCCCCTCTTCCCCTCTTGCCCTTCCCTCTCTCTTGCCCTCTTCCCCTCTTCCCCTCTTCCCCTCTTCCCCTCTTCCCCTCTTCCCCTCTTCTTCTCTTCCCCTCTTCCCCTCTCTTCCCCTCTTCCCCTCTTCCCCTCTTGCCCTCTTGCCCTCTTGCCCTCCCCCTCTTCCCCCTTCCCCCTCCTTCCCCTCCTCCCCTCCTCCCCTCCTCCCCTCCTCCCCTCCTCCCCTCCTCCCCTTTTCGTCCAACAGGACAATATGGAGAGAGGATGTTCTCAGAGCTCGCCTTCCATGGATTCAAAAACGTGTGAGGATGCCTGGCTCAAGAAGAGTCAGAAGAGTGTAATACCTCCCGTAGTGAGCAGATGGGTTCGTGTTGGTTTTTTTCGAGCTGTAATTATTGAGAACGATTGAAGCAGTGAGTGCGTTGGATGACAGCGAGGCATAGCTAGGCTAGGTCCTCGCAGCTGGAGGTAGTGTTCTCTAGCTTGAGCCAAGCACACAGGTCCGATTTATTTGACTAAACGCCCGCTACGTCTCTCTCTCTGTATTGATTTCTGTGTGTGTGTGTGTGTGTGTTTAAAGATATGTAGCAGAATGCCCCCCCCCCCCCCCTGCCCCTGCCCCCCAAACAACCTCTGCAATTCCTGGTTCTCGTAAGGCGTTGCGCAACCAGGTGTCAGAGCTTCAGAAGCTCCATGGCGGCATGGCCATGGCATGGCCACAGCTGTAGGTGGAGTTGTGAAAGGAGCGGGAAACCTGGGAAGCCGGGAAACTCGAGATCCCAAAAGGAGTGCGCAATTTTTCAAGCGCTCAAGGATTATCGCAAAAACCATGACTAAACGGAGTGCTGACTCCTGAGCCTGAGAATAGGTGATGGGTAGCAAGCCCACAACGGAGTGGGACACCAAAGGCCTCCGAGTTCTGCAATCAACACAGCAACCAGTGCAGGTCCTTCCATGTTGTCCCGTGCTCCAACTGCGGCTGAGGAAGTTGAAGCAAGCGAACTTTCAAGAAACCGTGGCTCAGCCTGCAACGGGCAACGGATGGCAACGGTGCACTGTTCGGTGGTCTCCGCAGCCTTAACCATTTGCCAACCACTTGCAGGCGAGCAAGGACGATGGCTTGGAGGTCATTACAAAAGTGCACGGCAGATGCGCCAAGCTTTCCGAGGAGCACTGGAGTCTCTGTGCTCTTTCCACACATGTCGAATTCGCTCTTGGAAATCTTAACGCCTTAGCAGGAACTACGAGTCGGACCTCTGCCCAACCTCCTGGGAAGCTCGTTAGTCTCCGGCCGCAGCTCACCTGAACGTACTTGTGGCATCTTGTGGCATGCTTGTTCCCTTAGCCTTTCCACACGCTGTAGAGCCTCAACATGTGAGGGCCCACCGGGTCCACCGACAGCTGGAGGTCACAGTGAGCCTGAACGATGTGAAGTGCTCGGCCGCCTCAACCAAACGCAGATCTTGCAACTCATCGCGACCACCTACGTCCTTTACAAGGTGCCGCGAAGCACGAGCCCAGATCAAAGGACTAAAATCTTCACGAAAAACAACGACATCTAACGGCTGAAGGCGAAGGTTGGCGAAGTTCCTTGAAGTGCCTTGCAGGCGCGGTCGGTGTGGGGAGTGCGCCCAGACGAGACCTGGGGAGGCTTCAACGTCTCTCTGAAGCGCAGCTTTGAGTACATTAGTTCTCCGGTGACCTTTCCTTTCCTCGGAAACTCAGAAGTTAAATCAAGTTGAATCAAGTTAGGCAAGTTCGAGATGTGGGGGTCACCTGCTGAAGGTGTAAGATGTCCGATGGCTCTTGCTGGAGTGAAGTTACAATTCCGGCCTCGCTCAACTAGAAAAAAGGTCTTTTTTGGTTCGTTTTCGGCAGATCTCGGGGGAGCTCAACACGGCTCACAAACGGCCCTCTTTCGCACAAGGGAGGCACCGGGAAGCATGAAGAGTCAAGGCTTACCCCCTGACCATGCCCCCTGCCAGCCCACCACCTTGGCCTTAGGCGCTTTGGGCCCGACGTTCTTCCTTGCCATGTCAACTCTGCTTTGCTTCCGTCTGCGGCCACGAGGTTCTAGCCTAGAGCTGGCTTTTCTATGGTTGCCTGTAGCTGCTTTTAGCAAGTAGTATCTACCCTTAGCTGCTTGTTGCCGCTAATGCTGCTTCCACCGCCTCCCCAAATCACATGCTCCGACGTCGTTATTTCCTACGTCTGAGATCCCCCACTTCAATGCACTGCGATACCAATTGCCTACCAATTGCCTACAACTCACGCCCTGCTGACATGGCAATGATGCGCAACGAGCGATGTGCAGTGTACCTCCTGGACACTTCGAAGAGCATCACCCTCGCCTCTGTGGATGGACCGGTTCTTCTCCTTTCGGCGGGGCCGGGCGTGGTCCAAGAGGAGAATTCGAAGTCAATCCTGAGAGTTGCAGACGGCAAGTTGTACGCCAGCTGGGAGCCCTTCCGAAGTGAAGAAATCAGGTTGCGCAGTGTGGACGGCACGTTCTTTGCTGTGCAAGTGTTCGGACACACTGGGCACATGGGACAGAGCAAGACGGCATGCGAGCACGGTGACGGTGTTCGCAGTGACGTTGGGACAAAGCTCCTAGTCGAGAATGCACTCGTCTGTGTTTGGGCCTTCGAGGTTGAAGCGGGGGCAGAATGCCATGTGCACCGCCATCTGCGAGACTATTTCTTCTTGAACATCCTAGCCAGTGACACGATCGCCTTAGACGAGCAAGGAAAGCCCAAAGGGCCGGTTTCACGACAGGAAGCCGGGCAACTGACGTTTGTACATGTGCACCCACCATATCCAGTCCACGGTCTTGTTAACGTGGGATCGCAGAGATTTCGGCAGTTTGTGGTGGAATTCAAGCAGAAGTGGCCGCCATCACGCCTCTAGCTGTGTGCAGTCGAAGTGTGCATTGCAGTGCACTACATGCTTTTGCTCGCTGTGATCCGCTATGCGAATCCCGATTTCTTTCTACCTGGCACCGTGACAATTAGGTAGCTTCAATGCGCTGTTATTTTGCGTTTCGCTCTGGGGCTGGGATGTGCCTGATTGCTCTTCTTTGCTCTTCCATTTTGAGGGATGTTGCTGTACAATGAGCACAGTAGTTGCGTAGCCGGCGTGGCTGTGGAGGTAAAACACGCGAACCCGAGTTCTTCTCTCAGTTCTGCTCACTTTCCCCAATTCCCAGAGGCTGATCTCAACGATGCACGAATGTGGTCCAAAGCTCCAGGTATCCTGGGCAGGAAGCCGGTCACGAAAATCGCTCCAGAGCTCTGGATGGCTGCAGATCTGAAAAGTTAGTGAAGTTCTGCTTGTGCGAACATGCGCACTCTTGTGTTTGACATATTTGACATGGCATATGGTACATCTTTGCCAACCGAAGTACGCCTACCGGGCGCCAGTTGATGTCTAGACCAATCGGATGTGATGTGGCAAGTTTGTACGTAATTCATCATGTTTAGCCCCTTCGCTGTTCTGAGCAGAGCTCTTGGCCAAGACAAGGAGATATGTGTGTGGTGTGCATCCATGACAATTCAAGAGATGACTAGCATTTTGAAGACCGCGGTCGGATTCGCTGTCTCACCGAGCACTTCATATGTGGTGATTCGGCTGCAAGCGAGCTGTAGGGGTTAACAGGGTTTGGGCCGGCTTATATCAGCTTTCTTGAACATGGCTTATTCAGCGAGATCTGATTTTATCCATTCCTAAATGTAGGCATGGCTGTCCCTTCACGTTTCCACGTTTTCTTTCCGAATGATCAGGAGCCGTATGTACTGCGACAATTGAGGGACGGCCGGTGCTTGCACTGAGTGGAAAGCTCGTTGCCTAAGGGTCCTCGTGCTTAATGCTGAAGTTTTCCGATTTTTTGGAAATGCCCAGGTGAAGATTGCCAATGTCCTCAATGTCCTCGAGAAGGGCAGCGCTGGAAAGAAGTCGAGGCAGACGCGGCCTCAGGGGTGGAATCGAAGGGTTTGCCATGAGTCATTGTCTTCGGTGTTGGCTTGTTATTTCCAACATAGCAGCTAATAGACCCCTGTGGCCTCTGCCCGCTTTTACCCAGGCAGAAAGCGGCCTGTGAGCCGCTCGATGTACAAAGCGTGTAGTGTCTCGGTCCCAAGGGTCCTTCAAAAGCACGGTGTGGCATGTGCTGGCCACATGGCATTTGGGTTGTTCAGAGGCTTGCAAGAGTCCTGAAGAAGATCCATGCGGCTTTGGATTCATGTGCTCAGAGACATTAAATTTGTTTCAACTACTACCGAAAAAGCTATAGGCCATCTTCACCACCCGTTGTAGGACCTGAATCATCGTTATCAGCCGCTGCTGTTTCCGGATGTGTTGCCCCGTGCTTGTGCAGTCAATATGACGTCTCCGAGCAGGACCGTGATCCCTTTCCTGGAAGGTGGAATCTGCTAAGGCATCTGCATGGGTAGTGACATTCGAGCACTCAAACACAAAAGCAAACACTGGAGGCCAGCGCCAAGCCTGCAGCATGGCTGCCGAAGTCAAAAGTGAAGCTTTCCACAACAACGTGCACATCAAACAAGTTTGGAAGTGACGCAATCACAAGGTCTCGACACGTGCAGTTAAGGGGCATGTCATGGACGCAGTTTTCGAAACCAAGTCACAGTATGACGCCTTGAGAGCAAGACAGGGAGCCTGCTTAGTAGCGCGACACCTTTGGGTTGAGAAGCGACTCTAAGACTAGAGGAGGTCGTGTTCCCTGGTGTTTCCCTGAGCTGGGATGATTGCTGAGCGCGCTGCTTCAGGTATATGAGTTGACTGAGTTGACATATGTCACAAAAGCTAGCTTTCTTGGAGCTTGCTGGAGTTCTTGTTTACAAATGTTCTTTTGGGACAAGCCGCACTCCAGGGCCTCAATCTCGGGCGATTAGGGGAGGCGGGGGGGGGGGGGGTAAGGGGGGCGCAAGGGGGGGGGGGGTAAGGGGGGGTTGGGGGTAAGGGGTAAGGGAGGGGTAAGGGGTGGGGGAGTGGGGGGGGAGGGTCTCACCCCCCCGCCCGAGGCTTCTTCTTGAACCGTACAACGCAAGCTTACATAGGACAGGCTTTGTATGATGTTGACACACGGATGTTCTCGCACATGTGCTCTTTTGGTATCTTTTGGTGCATGGGACGCTTGCCTGTTCGTTTGTTTCTTAGCAGGCGCGATGCTTTCGTCCGCCATGCTCTCAAGTTGACATTCGCACAGCCTGAGCTTCATGTGTCATTGAGCAATTGATCGCAGCCTGATTGATATTGGAGCCCTAAGCCTTGATTTCCGCCTTCCACGCTCGGTCAGAGCATATCAGAGCCGTCAGCGCTGTTCTCGATTCTGGGCAACAGTGTTTTTTACCAGATGCAGAGGGTCCTTTCGACTTCCTAAAAAGACCGTGGATTCGGGATAAAGGCTTAGCAGTCGTAGGCTTCCTACTGTGAGCAAGAGTAGTCGATAGTAGTCGCGGCCTGAGATCGATAGCAGAAGATCTGGGTCGTGCACAAAATCATTGAACGGGGTGCACAATTCATACAGAAATCCATGGAACCCTCTGACAGAAGCATGCCAAATTGCTCGTCCACAAGAGACTTGGAGACGCATTGAGCGTTTCAGTGGTTAAGAGTCCAGCTAATACCGCTCGGGTTGGCAGCAATCTCTCGCAGCTCGACTGGCTGTTTCAGAGCTATAGTTACATTTGCTCTCAGATGGCATTGTGGTCTTGAATTCACAGGAGTAAGCTGCGCACCACTTTGCGTGCAAATCCACGCGCACTCACGAGCTGAAATGCACTTTTGGAAGTGCCCTGTGTATGCAGAAGCCAGCAAGGAGGCCATCCACCAAAGCGGTGGGTTTAAGAGTTCTCGCTGGCCCAAGGCTAAAGATTTTCGACTCTAACTCGAAGGAGGGCTGCGCTTGCGCAAGAGAATCAAGCGCTCTGGAAGTGTTCCTTGGAGATCTTCTCCAAGGCAAGTCGACGTACCGTGCTGCATGAAGCGGCAACCATAAATATTGCAACTATGGCCCCGTGCAGCATGCCTTCTTTCCAGACATAGCAATGCTCAACGAATCGTGGAGGCAGGTTGATAGGGCGCACCTGGAAAACGTGTCTGTGAAAGATAAAGCTCCATTTGTGGGCACTGCACTGTATGCGCTGGCCTCACAATTATCGAGCTCACTGCTTCAAAGCTGCGTAAAGTGGCTGTCGGGTTTTAGAATGAGACTGGCCAATGCAGGGCAATGTGTCGCTGCAAGGCACCATTCGTGTTTGATGGACCGCCCGGCGTACAGGAGCGAGCTCGGGCGTAGTGTAGTTGTTTGCGATTGGTTGGATTGAATAGGTTGATTGGGGTGAGATAGGTCAGAGTGGGTACATTGATAAGATTTGATAAGATTCGCAGCACGGCTGGTACAATCTCCGGCAGCCATGCTTTGTCTGGGCCACTGTGCCACAGGCTGACAGCCGATCAGACATTGCCGCAGCTTTGATCAGGGGGGCTCCTTCGCTTTCTCTCAGCGCCATCTGAATTCGCAGGCCAGCCAAGAAAGCCCTCCAGCTGACCCTTGCCCGAATGTCCTCAGACCTGCCATTGCAAACTTGCAAAATTGCCATTACAAACTTGCCATTGCAGGCATTGCAGTTTGCAGGGTATTGCAGCTTGTCGTCGGACAGATTTGCTCATCCGGCTATCAACTGTCAAAAAGCAAGTGTCAGATGATGTCAGAAGCTTGGCCACTCGGGGCTCGTAGAGGCTGGACTTAGAGATGTGCCAGTGCAGGGATTTGCTCCCGGGGAGGCCAGAGCCGTGAAGTCGTAAAGTATAATATGCCTGTGCTGTTCTCATGGGGATTGAAGTTCATTGAAAGGCGATGCGACAAGTCTGCAGCCTCCGAGCCATATGCCAGCTGATTAATGATGCAATGCATTAGCATTTGCATCTCCAGACTCCTGCCGAACAGAGACGGGGAGTCACACAATATCAGAGCCAATTGTCAAAGCTGTGATCGGCTTTGCGTGCTCAGAGCAGCTCCTGGGCTTGCACAGGAGCAAATGCGGCTCCGTAGAGCCGTGGAGTTGTAGAGGTGCGCGGGTCCTTGCAGATCTTGTTTGCATCCGGTGCATCCGAAATCAGGTAAAGTCGGTCAGTCAATGCTTATCGAAGAGCAGGTGGCCTTTGGATCTATGTGCGATGCCATCTGGAATGCCGAAGCCAGGGCATTTGGAAGGCATTCGAGGTGGTTGATAAAGACTATAAGAGTGGTTGGAGGCTCCCATTTAAAGTACGAGCTGTGCTGGTCCCAAACGGTCACTTATGGCCTTCAAAGCAGCTCCATTTCAAAACACAGGCATCGCCAGTTTGTGGAGAGCTGAGAGTGAGAGTCTATGTCTATGTTTGCTTGGAAACAGGCCACTCTACCGCAATGACATGCAACGAACGTGCAGCAAAGCTTCATGTAACCTAGCTGTCGCAAGCTGACCCGTTTCCTTCCAGTGTCGTTGATGCCGATAGGTTTCATACGCTTGGAAACTATGGGTAGCTTTGCTGCAGGACCCGTGCGCTGCTGCCGTGTCAGTCTGTTTTGAGATGGAGGGTCCGTGTACTGCACTCACACCCCAAAAGCAGCTGAGCTGCAGCCCAGGCTGCACACCAATGTTACCAGAACGTATGCTGTGGAGATTTGAGGATCTGAGGTTTTGACCTTCCGAAGCTGATTTGTGAGCATTTGTCATCATGATCGCTTCTTTGCGCATTGGAGACTATCGAAAAGAGAGGCGTGCAGTAGAGGGAGACCTTGCCTGTTAGAATGAGAAGCAGCGCTTGCGCCGTTCTTTCCCAGTGTCTGCACTTGCTAGAGGTCTGTTCGCAAGACACACATAATGCATCCGAAGCCAGAGAAGACCGCGCCAGGTGCTTTGCGGAGTCGGCTCGGTCAGCAAGCGCAAGAGCCTCGAGCCGGAATTCTTGAGAGAGGTTTGTTTCATGCCTGCGAATGTCGAGGTGGACTCACGTTCTTGACTTCCGCTCTGCCGGCGCCATTGACCTGCCACTACAGGCAAGTGACATGATTGCCGGGCCTGCCGGGCTGTCTAATGTTAATTCAGAGAACGTCACAACCGTCCTGCGATTCGGGATGTCTTGGCTACAGGAAACTGTTCGCAATCACGGGCTACAGGATGCCCTTTGCATGATGACGCATCCGGATCACTCTTACTCAGACTAGGCTCGTACGTGTTTTCCGAAGACAGAAACAAACGGCATACGGAGCGCTGCCCCATGAGAGGTGCTAGTGTCTGTTCTAGTGATTCTAGTGGTGGTTATGACTCATGACTCGTGCCCTTGGCCGATGGCATGACGAGCCCGAGCCAACCCCGTGGACCGGCAGAGGCTCGTACGGAAAGCGTCGCATTCGTTCTCCACCAGGCAGGAGTCGGAGTCGTAGGAGTCGCGTTCAGCATCTGCGCCATGAGTTCCATGAGTTCGAGCGAGAGCGCTCTCGCTGTTCTCGTTCACGATCCCGGCCATCGACGTCAGACCTACACGGCATAGCTCAAAGCCTGGCGGATGCTATCATGGACCTGCAGGTTCCATGTGAGAATTTGCAAGGACTCTGGTCTAAACTGATCAGGTTGCGTTCCCGCCTTAGAAGCCATGATGGAAACAGAACACCGGCTTACAACTCTTTTTCCACGAGTCGACCATCTCTGGATCCACTGGATCCAAATGTGACACGTGAGACCTATCCGACCCATCCCAAAAGCAATTGGATAGGCAAGCTACAAGAGCTGTACAGTCGAGCTTCGCAGAGGCCTGTGAAAAAGGATGAGATTAAGTACACGACACACGAGGAGTCAGCGGCATCGTCTTCGACTAAGCAGTTTCGGTCGACTGTGGAGGCCAGCAACTTCACATATCGCTATCATGGGAGCTTGTGCAATACAAAGAAGCAGGCCGAGCATTCAGCGGCATACACGGCAATCCGTGCCGAGTTCCCAGAATGTGACCTTGAAGAGGCTCTTTCGAGTCAATCTCGACCTGATCGAAACTTGACAAGCTTGACCTTCAAGAGCAAGTTGCATGAGGAGCTGAAGAGACGCCTCGGCATGGAGATCACTCGTGATCAGCTTCCCTATGAAACGACTTTTTTCGAAGACAACCAGCCGGACGAGCTTTACGTGTCTCGAGTGACACTCAAGTGCTATGGTGCCGATGGGGCAAGTTACACTGGGAATTTGCAGCCGACTCGGAAGCTGGCTGAGCAGTCCGCCGCCGAGGCAGGGATCACGTGTCATGGCACGCTGTGACACTGTGCTTCAGCAACAGTCCAAGACGCGGTAACTGCAACGCTGCATGCTTAGACGGGTTCTTTCACGTGGCCAGCATCCTTAACTGAGCCCTACACTGGCCCTACATTGTCCTTGCTTCTGCCAACATGCTTGTCGCCCAGTACTTTGGGGTGGTATTTCAGGGATCTGGGCCCAAGTCCAGGTGGCTCTGGCTGCCTTGGAAGATGAGGCAGCCCGAGAGCAAGAGCTGCGCATGACCTGTCTGTTCTTTCAGTTCATTCTGCTTGTGCTTTAGACCCTTATCAGTACTCTGCACCTGCCGTTACACGAACCTTGTGCAGGCGTGGAGGCACAGACAGCATCAGAAGCTATGTTGACCATAGTGATCGCCAGGTCGGTCAGGTGACAAAGAAGAAACAAGCGCGTGAGAAGAACAAGGTGTGGCAGGGTGCTGTTGATTCTATTTCCGGACCAACTCTGGCTAACAAGTCTGATGCCGAACATGTGTAGTTATACCGGCTACCTGCACTGCATCTGAGGCCATGCGCCATGAAGTGAAGGAAGAGGAGGAGTGCCTCGTCTCAATGCGTCTGAGCAATTTCTCTGCTTCAGCCAACGAGGTCTTCCGTTTGTTGCAGGTAGACCAGGTACGCAGAGTCCATATTCTTGACCAGCCTCGCATCTGAGGAGTTACAGCACCTACTCGTCTTGCAACTCGGCGTTGTTGCTGTGGTGCTCAAACGGGGCATATTCTCCATTTTCCACACCGTTGCTGTTGTCTTTCACTTTCTCTAAGTTGCTGGAGTCGCACCTTTCCGGGAAACTATTTAGTTTGGCAAGGGCCGGCCGTGCATGCGTGCACGACTCAGCAAGGCAGCCTCCGTGGCATCTGTGGTACTACTTCTAAGACTTATTATGACTTCCTGCACTGCACTGTATGTCCAATATGTCCAATAGCCAACCTCATGCGAGCCCCTTTTTTGTCGCTGGTGCTATACAGGGCGACACGAGGGTAACCGTCTGGCAACAGCACGAATCGGCGGGACAGAAATGGAACCCAAGGAAAGCAAACTCAGGGAATCTGCGCAGACCGGGGAAGTGCGAAGGGCTGGGCGGCGAACTTTTGGGTGCCCGCCCCGGTCGAAGTGTTGCCTTGATTTCTCTCAGGACCGTGCGCTGTGTTGTTGTGTTGTCTCGTGCTGTCTTGTGTTGTCGTGCGTTGCGTCGCGCTGCGCTGCGCTGCGTTGGGTGTGTGTGTGTGTGTGTGTGTCTGTGTATGTGTATGTGTGTATGTGTATGTGTGTATGTGTATGTGTGTATGTGTATGTGTGTGTGTGTGCGTGTCTCTGTGTTGTGTGTGTGTCTGTGTTATATATATATATATATCTCTGTGTGTGTGTGTGTGTCTCTGTGTGTCTCTGTGTGTCTCTGTGTGTCTCTGTGTGTGTCTGTGTGTCGGTGTTGTGTGTGTGTCTGTGTGTCTGTGTGTGTGTGTGTGTCTGTGCGTGTGTGTGTGTGTGTGTGTGTGTCCGTGTCTGTGTCTGTGTCTGTGTCTGTCGTCTGTGTCTGTGTCTGTGCGTGTGTCTGTCTTCTGTGTGTGCGTGTGCGTGCGTGCGTGCGTGCGTGCGTGCGTGCGTGCGTGCGTGCGTGCGTGCGTGGGTGGGTGTGTGTGTGTGTGCGTGTGTGTGTGGGTGTAGTGTGGTGGTGTGTGGTGTGTGTGGTGTGGGTGTGAGTGTATGAGTGAGTGTATGAGTAAGTGTGTGAGGTGCGTGGTGCGTGAGTGTGTGAGTTGTATGTGTGGTGTGGTGTGTGGAGTGTGTGTGGTGTGTGTGTGTGTGTGTGTGTGTGTGTGTGTGTGTGTGTGTGCAGGGTGGTGGGGTGTGTGGTGTGAGTGTGTGTGTGTGTGTGTGTGTGGTGTGTGTGTGTGTGTGGAGGAGTGGTGTGTGTGTGTGGTGCGTGTGTGTGAGTGTGTGTGTGAGTGTTGTGAGTGTGGTGTGCGTGTGTGGGAGTGTTTGGTGTGAGTTTGTGTGTGAGTGTGGTGCGTGTGTGGTGTGTGTGTGGTGTGTGTGTGTGGGTGTGTCTGTGTGTGTGTGTGGTGTGTGAGTGTGTGATGGTGTGTGTGCGTGTGGTGTGAGTGTGTGTGTGTGTGAGTGTGTTGCGTGGTTGTGTGAGTGGGAGTGACAGTGGGAAAGGCTGTGAGTTGTGAGTGTGGTGTGAGTGAGTGGTGATGTGAAGTGAGTGAGTGTGAGGGGTGAGTGAGTGTGTGAAGTGTGGTGGGTGTGTGTGTGTGTGTGGTGTGTGTGGTGTGTGTGTGGTGAGTGAGAATGTGTGTGTTTGTGCGTGTGTGTGTGTGTAGTGTGTGTGTGGTGTACGTGAGTGTGATGTGTGTGTGTGTGAGTGTGTGTGAGCTGTGTGTGGGTGTGTGTGTGTGTGTGTGTGTGTGTGTGAGTAAGTGGAGGAGTGTGTGTGTGTGTGTGTTGTGTATGTGTGAGTGTGTGTGTGGTGTGTGTGAGTGATGTGGAGAGGGTGTGAAGTGAGTGAAGTTGAGTGGGCGTGTTGGTTGTGTCGTGTTGTGGAGGGTTGGTGTGTGTGTGTGGTGTGTGTGTGTGTGGTGTGTGTGTGAGTGACGGTTGTATGGTGCTGTGCGTGAGTGAGTGGGTGGTTGTATTGAGTGGAGTTGTGTGTGTGTGTGTGTGTGTGTGTGTGTGTGTGTGGTTTGTGGTGTGTGTGTGTGTGTTGTGGGTGTGTGTGGTGTGTGTGTGCGTGTGAGGTGTGAGTGTGAGTGGAGGGTGGGTGTTGTGTTGTGCGTGTGCGTGTGTGTGTGTGTGGTGTGTGTGTGTGTGTGTGGTGTGTGGTGGTGTGTGTGTGGTGTGGTGTGTGTGTGTGTGTGTGGGTGGGGGTGTGTGAGTGCGTGAGTGCGTGAGTGTGGTGTGTGTGTGTGTGTGTGTGTGTGTGTGTGTGTGGTGTGTGTGTGTGTGTGTGTGGTGTTGTGTGGGTGCTGTGGTGTGGGTGTGTGTGCGTGTGAGTGTGTGGCCTGTGTGTGTGTGCGTGTAGCGTGTGTGTGTGTGTGTTGTCGTGTGTGTGGTGATGTGTGTTGTGTGCGTGTGTGTGCGTGTGTGTGTGTGTGTGTGTGTGTGTGTGTGTGTGTGTGTGTGTGTGTGTGTGTGTGTGTGGTGTGTGTGTGTGTGTGTGTGTGTGTGAGTGTGGAGGGTGAGGTGAGATGTGAGGCGTGAGAGTGTGAGTGTGTCCGAGAGGGTGTGTGTGTATGGTGTGTGTGAGTGATGTGTGGATTGATGTGTGCGTGATGTGTGCGTGTGTGCGTGTGTGAGTTGTGTGAGGTGGTTGAGTGTGAGTGTGTGTGTGCGTGTGAGTGCGTGTGTGTGCGTGTGTGTGTGTGCGTGTGTGCGTGTGTGCGTGTGTGCGTGTGTGCGTGTGTGCGTGTGTGCGTGCGTGCGTGCGTGCGTGCGTGCGTGCGTGCGTGCGTGCGTGTGTGTGTGTGTGTGTGTATTTGTGTGTTTGTGTCTGTGTGTGTTTGTGTTTGTGTCTGTGTTGGGTGTGTGTGTGTGTGTGTGGGTGTGTTTGTTGTGTGGTGTGGTGTTGTGTTTTGTTGTGTTGTGCCGTGCTGTGCTGTGTTGTGCTGTGTGGTGTGGTGTGGCGTTGTGTGGTGTTTTGTGTTTTGTGTTGTGCGTTGTGCGTTGTGTATTGAGAGTGTGTTGTGTGGGCCGGGCCCGCTGCGGCGCGCAGGCGGGCAGCGACGGGGTTCCCTTCTAAAAGCAGAGAATTTGCACGGTGATGGGGGGTGCCCACGCTGCGATTTGTCAGGATTGGCTCGTGCCTGTTCCTCGTCGTAAATTTCTCGGACTGTTGAGTTCTGGTTCACTTCTGGCTCTTGGACTTTCTAGGTGACCATGAAGAAGATGACGGCTGAAGTGATGCTCGACTGCGGCGCTTGAGAAACAGACCGCAGCCCGTGTGAAGGTTTTCGCTTCTTCTGCCTTCCGAATTTGGGGGTTGCCGGGGACCCGACAGTTGAAGCCTTGAACGCGTCATGTAACCAGCGGCCCTTCGTCCTGCCCAACGAAGATGAATGGCAGTTTCCTCAAGAGCTTGACACCACCAGTGCAGAGGTATACTCGACTGTCCCTGTTACGGCCCGCTTCCACGGAAGAATCGGCTGTCGGTTTCAGCCCAAACCCTGAGCCGCAACTGACCTTTGCACGCTTACCCCCCCGCCCCTCTCCCCCCAGCACAAATTGCCTAAACAAAGAGGTGAGGTCCAGTAATATACGTATGACCATAACAACACAAAACCTCAATTCTATAGGAAGGGATTGCATGACACCCATGCCCAACATTTGACAAGCTGAACACTTGAAGCCCCACTCCAGATGCAACCTGGACAGGAAGCACCTTTTGCCATTCGTCTACCCTGGACTTCGCCTTGTCGGCCTGCGCAGGAGATGGGGAGAAAAACATGGCAGAAGCAACTGCATGGTGGCAAACAGAAATGACCTGGAATCGGAAAATCGTTTGCCAGGGCCTAGGCCTAGTTTGGACATTGAAGCGATGCCATGCTGAGTGCCCTGTGCAGCATGCACCATGATTGTGTTCCCGGGTCCGATGGTATTCGCTTCAGTTAGTGGTTCAGGGGACGTTGCGCAAACCGAAGCTTTTGGATTCTGTATTCGGAATCTGGTGGTTACCGTGCTAGTAAACAAACGGAGCGGTACTGTACCAGTAGTGTGCTGGCACTGGTGCAGATGCAGTCATGATTTGCTTTGCTCCGGCTGCTCCAGGAATTCCTGGAATTTCTGCCGGCAATCTTCGATTTCCTGCGGTGGAGCATGGCCTGCGTTGCTCTCTGCTTTTCTGGGGCGAGTCATGGTGAAGCTGTCTGGCGATCCCCTCTGCTTGAGACCTCAGAGCTCTCTTAGAAAGGCATGATTAGCAGGCAGTCTTCTAGACTCTGAATCGGTTGAGAGGTTGAAACTCAGCACGTGGTGGCTGTTACTATCAGTCGAAGCTGTGACTCTGAAGCGCACCTCTTGTGACAATTTCTTTGATGACAGTGGTTGCGAATGCTGCAAACCTTCCAGAATGCTATGGTGCCAGGCATGCTGCCTTGGTACAGGGTACACCCGCCACGTGGGTAGCCGGTTGGACAGCAAAGCCTCTCTCTGCGCATTCTGCGCTCCGAATAGGGAAAGCGGTGTACTGTGTCTCACCGTCCCAAACCTCCCCTGAAACATTCGGGCACCTGCAATCACCTGCCAGTTGGAATCGTTGCTGTTCCTTGAAGCGTGTCCGTGACTTTTTGGGCTCAAGGCAGAGCCTGTAAACGAGGGCATATGAGGCACCTATTCTAATTGCGACATGCCGATCTCACACCATAGCCTCCACTATAATTGTAGGAACGCTAAGCGCGCATCAAAACAATCCAGGTTTGTAGTTTGCGGATGTCAACAAGACGCAACAAGACTTACGCATTGCATAGGCCGGTATTGACTTGTCTGATAGTTGGTTGTGCGATCTGGTGCAACCCATTTTGATCAGGCAAGAGAGCGCAGGGCTCAAGGGGATCTCAATCATTCAGAGAAGGAGTCGGCCTTCTGCTATTAGCGTTAAGATTGGATTTCTCCGGGTGTCAAGTTTCGGGTTGACAGACACGTTGCGCACCATCGATGTTCGTTGATTTTTCGCAGCTTTCTAGAAGTGCCACTTCTTTCCGATCTTTTCTTGCTGGGGGGGGTTTTCGAGACCCATGACAGCTCACTTGTTCAATTGGCTTGCTATTTCACACCCGCTTTCTCTTTCTAATTGCAATCCTCATCTCGGTATGCCGAGTGCGGGATGTTTCCACAACTGCTTTCGGTATGGCTGTCGCAAATGCAGAAGGCACAGCCCAGTTACAAAACTCAGCATTGTCAAATGTCCTTTGACAGGGAGCCAGTGCCAAGAAGGACTTCAGTGATACAGAATGGATTCCGAGGACGAGAGTTGCCTGGCAACAGTTGGACCTTGTCAACTTCGACTGAGAGATTACTCAGCAGAAGGGCTGATTGAGTGTTCTGGCGTGCCCCGTGCCACGCGAAACTGTGCGCCTTACGAGCCAGCGCAGGGGTGGGGGAGGAGGGTACGTGTTTGCTGGTGAAGGAGTGTGAAGGCACGTTCGAATCTTCAGCAGACCACTTTTGTCAAGCCTTCCACGGAGCAAAAGGTCCTCGCACGCCCTCCCTGTCACTTAGAAGCTTGTGTTGAGACCATGATACACCACCTTCCATCATTCGGACAGCATCATTGGTTGAACTTTGATACTCCATCCCACCATGTCCTCCGACGGACTTTCCCGGCCAGTTGCGTCTTGCCTTTCGCCGGCTGGCTTTCATTTGACCATTTGCCAGTACAAGATCCATCAATGGAACCGCGCCAAGCACGTGTTGACTTTGTCGTTCAACCCTTACCCAGTATAGAGCCCTTAGAGTGCATTTGTTGATTTCGACTTGCTCGAGAGGCACTACAGGTATCTGTGAGGCAGATTCCAGCATACAGCCTTCTGGGCCTGTCACGCTATCACTCGACCTTGTGAACTTTTGAGTCATGCGCTTCCTGCATGGTCTGGGAGCTATGGTGAGGGGACTCGAAGTATCCGGTGGACGTGCGATTCGTGCGAAGCTGCAGTTATCATCTTGAACATGTGGGACGATGCTCACGACATTTCTGATTCGGTATGATCGGATTTTGTGTGCATTCGTTCATATAGCAACGATCTGCGCTGCGCAGCCCAGGTTGTTGCCTGGCCGACCTCGCTCAACCAGACCAAGATCCAGGCCGACAAGTGGGAATCGAGTGGCTAAGTGATGCTAAGTGTGACCAGATTATGAAGATACTGAAGATACCCTCAGCTGCAATCCGATAATCCGGACTTCGACTCTGGAGCTTAAGGCGCATTGCCGCATAGCCTTGCAGGGCATCCCCAGCTTTGCACAGAGCCATGGCCCATGCGTCGGAAGAATCCTGGCAGAGCCTGGCAGTAAGTGCCCGCTCTACTTCTGCAGGTAATGCGGTTTAGGCCATGTGCGGATCTTCAGCGAGAACCAGGAGCCATCTCCACCTGAACCATGCCCCACATGCACGGTGAATCTCGCACACCAGGAGGTTGCCACCCTTGACGAAGCAAAGAAGGGCCCATGGCTCCTTGGCATCCGTGCCGGATGCTTCCGGATGTTCCTGGCAGGCAGGTACAGGCCTGCCACTCCCGTGGCAAGGACATCCATGCGAAAGGTGCTGCCTTTGATTCCAAACACGCTTCCTAAGCACCGGAGCCATGGGAACGGCAGCTCTCGCAAGCCTCCACCGTCGTGCACCACTGGTACCCCAGCAGCCATGGGAGCCAGAAGCTGACGGGTAGGCCGAGCAGACCCTGCAGGGGCCCAGTTCATGGCTCTGGAGGGCAGCATGGAGCAGCCCACTCTGATGTGTCTACGCCTTTCGAGTCGCTATTGCTGTACGCTTGGATTTCGTCTGAACCAGGAGATTCTCTCTCCATTCTGATCTTCTAGAAAACTCCTGAAGGCAGCCATGCGTATTCACGGCAATCTACAAATTAGTAGCTCTACCTGCTCATGGTGGTAGTGACAGTGGGTGTCGTTGCAGGGGGGAGTCGGATGGGACGTCGGGACACGACGGACATCTGGGCGAAATGCTGACGGAATAAGTACCGTAGTCAAGTCTGCCTGTGTGGAAGAATCAGGGTGTCGTGGCTGTTGTGAAACATGCCCCAGCAGATTGAGGCATGGTCGCGCCACGTATGCACAAGAATCACCGATGGGGGGAAAAAGAAGATATGGATACCGTCAGCTGGGATGGCACCGTCTTCCCGACGCTGCTGCCCACTCCCTCATTCTTCTGTTGCAAGTCCTGGCGTGGCCGCGCAGCTCCGCAACCTCATGGAGGCGGACCAGCTTGGCTTCGTGCATGTCAATGTCATGATCCCAGTCCACCACGTCACTCAGCAAGATCGGGAAGACCCGCTGGCACGTCGATTTTCGATGCCCCCGCTGAATGCCGATGTCAAAACCAAGGCTTTCGACGCTCTCCTGCGCAACTGTGGTGCCAACGCCAAGCAGGTCCCATCGGAAACGCTTGAATGCGTCTTGACCACAAATCGTTGCTCGTTGATCCGACAGTGATCCGACCAAAGATGGAAGGGCTGCAGCACCGGGAAGCCTGTGAAAGCAGTGCTCAGAGGGGCGGCAAGCAGCACCTGCAGTGGAAAGTGCAGTGGCAAGTGGAGGCGCGGGTACTTCATCAAGTCGAATTAGTGCCATCTCCGAGGTTCCAGTTCCAAGAAGCACCCTTCAGTGGCCATGTCAGAGATCTTAGGTCGATTGAGGCCTGTGATTTCGACTGCAGCGTGTGAGGGGAAAAGCTTAATGTGAGCAGAACATGACATTTGTGAATGCCCCCGGCCACTTCTACGGCTGTTGTTGAGCATAGCATAGCATAGCCGAACTGGAGACATTTGATGCAAGCGCTGGGCATGGGCATTGATGTTTGCAAAGGTCTCAAGGCCATCTTTGACGCTCTGGAGAACGAGGCTCGCATTCGGGGGAGTCACAGCCCTTTGTAGCAATCCCTGTCTCTTCGCAAATGCAGTCCCAGAACTAGCAGGGTGTGTTCAAGGTGCCGTGTAGGCGCCGTGTGGTGACTTGCGGTTCCCCGGGACGGCTTTCTGCCCAGCAATTTGCAGCAAAGCTGAACAGGAAGCAAACTTGCCGATCCTATGATCTTGCGAAGCTCTTTCCCGAATGTTTGAGAACTGCGAAGGTTTTCCCCGAAAGCCACCGCAAGAATGCCCGATGCCCAGTGTCCAAGCAGTTTGCGAGATTTTTGAGGTTGAGGCGAAAGGAAGATTATGCTTTTTAAGCTTGCGGTCGACTTAGCGGGATTTTTCGCTGCAGCACGCGCCTATTGCTGGACTGCCCGCTGACCGTGTGAGAGATTGACAAGCGAACTTGTGAGTCACTGGCGGATGCCGGCGCAGGAAATTTCGGAGGTGGAGATGCCACCAACACCGAACGGAATTGCAGTCTCAATACCCAGCCATGTCCCTTGGTCACACGCAACACATCGCAACACGCGCTTGCGCTCTCTAAACAAGCAGTATAGTGAGAGATGGTGAATATAAGTGCGCAGCAAATGTTCGGAGGTGCGCGAGAAAGGAGATCAAACAAAGATGCTCGGGATGTGCCTTGGTGTGACGAGTCACTACACCAAGGCCGGAGAGCCAGAGAAATCCAGAGAATGCCCGAAGGCATCTGAAAGCATCCAGGGCTTGTTTGCAGCGGTCTAAGTCTGCGTAGCGATTTGAATAGACATAAACATGATGTCATGGGTCCTTCATTGTCGAAGCTGCCGCCGACAGACCTGTTGAGCCCTGTCCTGCTCTCCAGGGTGGGCAGGTTTCTGCAGCAACACGACGCAGGCACAGATGCATAGAGTCAGGGTCGCAGCGCCATTTCGTTTACGCCTCAAGAAATACAAAGAACGTATTCCCCTGACCTACCGGAGACCTGTCCACGGCAGTTGGCAGTCCCTAAATTTCTGGCTGTGAGCCTTTTTGCAATCTACAACAAAATTTGTGAGAGTCATCCGTAGTCTCTGGGAGGCCGGGCCTTGCAAAGCTGCTGTGCAACTTTGCTCGGAAGGCCAAGTTATTGCGCTGCAGCACTGTTGAGCTTCTGTTCTCTAGACCAATTTCAGACGTGATGTCGTTGACATGTCTTGATTCGAGTTCACGGCGACAGCAGGAGATTCCAGACTATCAGTTCACATCCATTCAGGTCAACAAGGACAGCTTGGGGCTTGATAGCTCTCGGAGCAGCACAGAGCCAGAAAAGTCAGGATTACCAGGCAGCAATGCACGTGGACAAGAACAACCTCGGCCCTTCCTGGATTCTCGGCCTAGGCAGGACATGGGTGTTGGGGCATAGTGCAGCTGCAAACGGGGGTGACTGGCCGAGAGCTAAGATGGTAGGTGTTTTGTGTGTGTGTGTGTGTTTTTGTGCGCAAATCCTTGAGCCCTAAACTCCTTGAAGTGCATTGCGAAAGACCATCCCCACGCCTGAGGAGTGTATGGCCGAGGGGGAGGGGGGGGGGGGGGGTTGTACTATGTTGTACTTTAGGGGCCATTCAGCGAGGCCCAGGAAAAATCATGTATCGCGGGGGCTCGGTATAAAGTGCCTAGGTTCGAGTTATTCATTCACCACATCTTCGCTACTGTCGGCCACTATCTCGTGGAGTTCGTGGCATGTTTTGATTGATGTCGCCGGACTTTCATGGGGACGGAGGCTTGGCGGGAGATGCAGGCAGGGTTCAAGAGTTGAAGAGCTCACTTCCATCACAAGACTCCAATATATCTGAACATGGGATTTCCATAGACAGGGTGCAAAGCCATTAGGGGGTCAGCTACCCCAGTTCTAGAAATGCATGGACGGGGGGGAGGGGGGTTCTACTACCACCGTGGACCGCTTAGATTACAGATCCAGGACATCCCCTGGATTCAACGAGGCCTTATGGTTCCACACATGGACCTGCCCCCGGGCCGAACGGCCAGCCCCCCGGGGGGGGGGGGGGGTGGGTCTGCTATATATTCCCTGGGCCGGACAGACCGCCACCATGGACCCAGAGACAGCACAGACATGGGAGTACTCACGGTATGAGTCTACCACAGACTTGCAGAGGGAGCAAAATTAAGCCACTTTGTTGCGGCTAGTGTGGTGTGCATGCTTTCGAGATTTATGTGCCTTGTCAACAGCTTCTCTCGCAGGTGACTACACTGGTGGATGGCTATGGCTGGACACAGATGACAAAATGGGCCGAGCGAAAGATGTGAGGCGCCGCCTGGGACGACAGCGGGGTTGGCAAGGCTTCATTTCGGATACAGAGCGCTCAGCTGACCAGGAGAAAGTGGTTTCAGTTTGATGGGCGGAAGCCACACTGCGTGCACGCCCGAGCGTAGTGATGCAGTGTACACGGTGATCAAGCTTTCAATGATGTTGGGGCCGATGGTAGGATCACCGGTGGCGTACGCTAAGGTGACCCCTTTCCGTGGGCGGCGGTACACTCTGGCTTGCATCCCAGGTGAGTTCTGTGGCACATCAGGACCCATGTGCCCATTTATTTTATTGCCGCACAAGCCCTTAATGGGAGAGACTAGCAATGTCTGGGAGAACAAACACAACAGCCTCTGGGCAGACCACCGCCGAAACAAACCGAGTGAGGCTGGGTCTTTGGGAGGGTGGGGCAGGCTAGAATATTGCTCCCTCCTGATGGCAAAAGCCTGGAGCCTCGGCAAATATTTCTGGAAGGCGGTCTCGCAGGAGCGAAGACGAAGCACTAAGCATCGCCAAAGCTCAGAATGCTAACTAGTGAGGCCAAGACCTGAGGGCAATTTCGCTTTCAGACAGCGGTATCTTCCATCCAACACAGTTCTGTCAAAAAAGAATTTCTTTGTCGAAGCCGAATTCTGACTGCGGTTCTCGAGCTCCGGCATGGATGGCAAAGGGATGCAAAGGGAGAGCACAGGATGCTTTGGGGGTTTGCCTCTTAAGTCGGCTGTGTAACATTGTGTAACTGAGTGTTGGCTACACATCATGGCTGCAGGTGTTTTTCTGCTATTCCAATCCGCAGAAGTCGACATCATTGACTCAGAAGGACATTGCAGCTTCAATCTTGCCGTTGCAAGGATCATGCTTGCTTTGCAGGACGAGGATTACCTCCGTTCTTTGGCCTTTCCGCTGCCAGCACAGGCCATGTCAGCCGAGTAGTGTCTGCTTCGCGGGAACGTCCAACGTTCAAAGTGAAAGGGGGGGGGGGACGGGGGGCGGGAGGGGGCTGGTCATTGCATCCGTCGCATGATGCACGCGTTTGCCTCCGTCTCTCGCCAGGTGTGTGGCCACGGTGCGGGGGCTTTGGCGGTCAGAAGGCGACGTCCCAATGTGGTTGGGGACTTGCAAAACGATGCTCCTCGCTGTCCCCGCAGAGGCCGCTATCTTGCCCGGGTATGAGCATCCAAGCGGCACGCTACGCCTTTCAGCGCTTCGAAAACAAAGCAGCTGCCCAAGACTGCCTGAGGGCATCTGAGGCATGAGGTCCTCTTCACTGTCGGCCTTTTCAATTGTACGTGATTCTTCTCCTTTAAATCCATTTCCAGGGTGGCGTCGAAACTACCTCCTCACCTGAAGATTTTGGCAGGATGGCTGTCATAAGGGACTTGGAGGAAAAACGTCAATTTGAATCAGCCCCCTGGCTTCTGGGAAACTTCCGAATGTGCTTGCGAAACATTCCCTCGCTCGTTTGAGAACCCAACGGTCAATATCTAGGATGTGAGCTGCATTTCGTAGTGCGTTCTGCATTTTTCCTCAGAGACATTGTTTGATTAGGGTTGGGCACAGTCTGTTGCTGGGACATTTGGCAGTTTGTTTCCTCACTCTGGCATTTCATCCTTAGATTCCCGTTCGTGCGAACCCTTGGAGTAAGTTTGGTTCGAGCCTGCATCTGTGCGATGGTATACTTACCATGCAGCCATCTTTGGAATCAGCTCTTTTCTGTTCGGGGTCGACAGTCCCTTTCGCCAGCGACTGCCGAACAATGGATGCCCAACTTCATTTCCGTACGCCAGTGCGCAGAAGTGAGATGCAGTGCATGAGAATTTATGCAAAGTAGTTCTCATTCACGGCAATGTTGCCCACAACCTACACCCACGAACATCCCGCAGCACAATTGCACTCCACACTAGGCCTCAAGCTGAAAGGCAAGCAGTAAACAGCTCTAAGTCAATGCTCTCAAGCTGCAGGTGGCCACCCGCGGAGGCCTCGGGCGCAAAGCTCTGAGGGTCCAGGTGCAGGGCCGACTGCCAGCAGAAGAGGGTAGTAGTTACCTGGTGACTTAGTGACTTAGTATGACTTTGTAGTGAGTTCGCGGATGGGGTCAGTGCCTGCGCGCAAGTGTTACATGGAAGATCAGTCTAGGAACGCTTCTGAATTCTGGTTAATGATGGTTGATGAGAGTCAGTTAAAAGCAAGCTGCCCGGATACCTTCTGTTCGTCGACGGAGAAGCCCATGGCCAATGCAAAGCGCAGCTTATGTGCTGGCAGGTTGGGAAGAAAAGAGTTAAAGTCATGGTCTC